AAAGTCAGTTTTGGGCGGTAACTGCCTTCTAAGTACGTGCTTACATCCAGTTGATGAGCGAATATGGACGCTGGCCTCAAGTCCTGCATAAATTATGTATGCAATTTAACGGTACGGCGAGTTCCCGTAAAATATGCACTTATTAGCAGTTAACAAAATGCAGATGGCTCACTAAGTGTGACCCATTTACATCCATTGTGGCAGTAGTTAGGAAATGTAGGTTTTAAGTGGGTCTTACAAAAAGCTGACTGAGGTCTTCCTGACACATTTCTTAAAAAGCTTTCGAGAACTACTAACTACCAGCAGTTAAAGAGGAGTAAAGTTTTACGAGAAATAAGCTGGTTTTCCCGCTATTTTAGCCCATTTTAAGTTATTACCCAACACTGCAGCTTTTCTCACCAAACTATTTTTATCCAACCGCAAGCAAAAACCTCGCCCTTAATTCTCACACATTTATCATTTCGTGAATGTCATTTAGAATAGCCCACATCCATTAGTTGCTGTAAATGGGGCTTAAGACATATTCCCCCAAAAAATGACGCTATGCAAATGAAGCCCACAGCTTGGTTCGCTTTGGTTCGCTTCGTTTGGGTTCGTTTGGATTGGGTTAACTGGCAATTTGCTGCTGTGGCCATGCCCGAGGATCCCTGGAACAGTGAGTCCATAGTCCACCGCTGCTAACCAGAACAAATGTGCCACGGACATGACGACATAGAGTTTCCGCTTTTCCTGCTCTGGATGAAATGGCAGCTAATTAATAATACGAAATTGCGCTGCCAGGAACTGGGTATGAAAACCAAACATGTCCTGCCGTTTCACCGTTTTTCCGATTTCCCTGACCAACACGAGGACGAGGATGCAGAATGGCGCCCATGGTAATGACGGTAGCCTGTGGCTGAGAAAAGCTGCGGAAAACTGGACCGATTCTATGGTTCTATGAACATGCACTTTAGAAAATTGAAAGATATTTTACAGAAATATATAAATATTCTGTATAGTAAAGTTACTTAAAAGTTTGAATTAACTGCAACCGAAAATTTAAAATACTAAACTTTAAAATGAAATTTCTCTTTAAAACACTAAAAGGTCAGATTGAGAGCAAAATGTGTAGATGAAAGAAAACGATATTAAAACACAATTTATGTGTGTTTTTTTAATGCTTCTTTATTCATGCAATTTTCGGTACGAGTTTAGATGGCATAGTTTTTCCTCTCTTCATATATATTGTATGCATTTCATCTGAGGGGCGCATGAGTTTAGCCCCTCGCATCGTTTGCGAAAATTGCTTAAAAATGAACCCCGACACTGACAGTTGATGGATGGTCTGGAAAATTTGGCTCTCAGCCGATCGTCCCTCTATATGTATGTGTGTCTGTACTCGTATATATCCCTCCTCCACGCCCACAACTCTCATCATGCGCGACTAAGTGTTTGCTTTATGGGGAGTCATGGGGGAAGGCGTGTCTAGTGTCGAAAGTGGGGAAAGGAGGGCATCGAGGAGGTCGAAAAAAGGCTGAGCCTGCCATGGGTTAAGAGTTTCAGCAAAAGCTTTAAAAATTTCATATCCATTTTTAGTGCTTCTGTTGTTAGTGCTAGTGCCACTGCCTCTGCTTATTTCCATAGTTATTTTTCATGCATTTTCCCAGCAGCTGGATAGTGGGTGCTATCATACTGTTGCTGCTCTCTGCCTTTGATGTGTTGTGTTTTCTTTTTCCCATCGTAGTTTTTCCATTTCTTTTTTTTCCTTTTCTTATTTTATTTTTGTGCTCGTTGAGTGTGCTGTGCATTTTTACGAGCGTTTTTTAATAAATCATGCGCCACGTAAGCTGACTTTCATGCACAGGGATACATTTCCCGGCTCCTTTACGTATATGAAAGTGTGTGTGCATTTCGTGTGCGCCTGAGTGAGTGATTTGCATATGTTGGGGAAGTGCCAGGGATGGAAAATTGCTGGCCACAAATGCACTTTGGTCCAATTAGTTAGCCGAAATGAACTGAGGCGAAAATTGCTTCGCTTTCTGTAAGAACTTCAATCTGCATCTCATCGGGCTGCCATCGGCCATCCCTGGTCTCCATCTGTCTTCAACAGCCACAAATCACTTCGACCACGCCCCTTAACCGACCATCGAAATGGTCGTTAGTTTTGGGGGGGTTATATCCCGCCCCTCCTTCCTCTTACGCCATATCCGAAAAATGCTGTTGTGCCTCGCCATTGGGTGCAAATTAATACACTTGCCAGCCACGAGGGAAAATTGCAGAGCGATCTTGTTGCTCCGTCTAGTGTGTTGCAGTTGCTGCGGTTTTCCGGCTATCATGGGTTAAGGGGGTTAGGGGCCAAGGGTTGGTGTGTTGGCGAACAGAAACAAACGAGCAGCCAACAAAGTTTTCTCTGTTTACTGGTGTGTGCTGGTTTTTGCCCTCTGCACATGGCTTAATATGCAAAGTTATGTGGGAAAAGACGAGGGAAAGAAGGAGAAATGCGATACAGTCGATATTCGATAGGAAATATTTTCTTAAAATTTAATGCAATGAATATAATATTCCTTTTTAAATTAAATTTACAAGCAAAGCACTATTTAACCAGGGCTTAACTTCTACTTTCAAACATAACGAACCTCAAAACTATGTAAAAGTGCTGTAAACTATCATAAAATTCATAAATTCTTTAATTTATTATTTACTAACATTTAGGCTGTTCTAGAGAAGGAGTCTCTACCGTAGATGCAGGTTCTTCCTTCCAGCTCGTTAAAGCTGGCTTCAATTGCTGGTCGGTTATTCTCATAATAATTTTGGAATATTATTAATGCCAGCCGAAAAGCAGGCAACACTCTGCCATGGCCCCCACTCACTAGCAGCCGTTTTCGCTTCAATCCACTAAAAGTGTAGCATACTTCGGGGTCGCTCATAAATATCAAATACACACGTGTGTGAGTGTGTCTGCTGGCTACGCTTTTAATTAAAGAACGCCAGCTTTTAGCTCGATATAATAAACTGAAATATAGACAGACCAGCAAAAGCACCAGCACCAGCAGCAGCAGCAGGAAGAGACAGCAAAAGGGCCGGCAGATGGCAGAAAAAGAGCAAGCGAGAAGGAGTATTATGAATTGCCATGACAAGCCCGCAGGCCCGGGTCCTAGTTCCCATCTCGAACCAACAATTTTCCCATATTTTCCCTTTTTTCCCACCTCCTATCTCAGCCATCAACTCTTGTTACAACATTTCAATTAAAAGTTAAACGTGCACGTAATTATGCGGACTACAAGGAAAATGTGTAAGTAATATTCCGCTGGCGCTGAGTGAGCAAAAAAGCGCATGGCGAAAATTAATTAACCAAAATGCTTTAAGCGAAAAAATACCAAAAAAAAAAAAAAAACAGCATAAGCGTTGGTAAAAATTAGAAACAAAAATCCATGAAAATCCCTGCGACCTAAAAAGAAACCTTTTCTGTCCATGGCGACGGGTTTTTAGTTATTTTATACGGCCAAAACCGCTCGTGCATGTGATTGGTTTTTCGAAGCCGAAGCTTAACCCCGATTTTTTCTCTCACTTTCTGTGAATTAACACCCACAAAAAGGCGAGGAGAAAAAAGATGAAAGCAAGTCTGTTAATTGATAATGTAAAATTGAAATTACACAAAAAAAGAAGAATATAAAAGAGTGCCAGGCGATGTCAGTCAAACAGACCTCTCTTCATATTCAAATCAACTGAAGGGAAGATGTAAATAAGTCCGAGGGGAGGGAACAAGTGTATGTCAATTCCATTTGGCTCAGATGTAACATTCAATATGCCCATGAATTCCCAGAAACAATTCCTCAAGTAACATCTAGACAGCTGGAATGGTAGAAAAAAGTAAAAAAGAAGAAAAAGTAGAGACTCAGACTAAATAACTGAAATTGATGGAAGACACATTTGCACACACACACAACCCCATTTCTAAGACATGAATTATAAAACGAGAGGAAGCAGCTCTTACACTGAAAACAAAGGAATAAACAAAGCTAAACTATTTATTGTTACTTTTTATGCTGAATGTGTAATGATAATAATTTTATAATTAATTTACTACCTATTTTACATAATAAGTTTGACTTCTTCATCTATTTATATGGTTTTAAAATGTAAAAGATGCCCTTTATTTTTCTCACTGTAGGATCAGAAAATCAGCATGTGTGACCGAAAGAGACTGCGAACAAAAGGAGGCAAGTGGATTGAACAGCGATTAGGGCGAGCAAACACAGGAATTATGCCAAAATCAACAAGAAGGGAAGAGGATGAAACAAAGGAAAGACTGGAAACGAGAAACTCGGGCTTAGGGTTTAGAACAAAAAAAACCTAAGAATTGGGGTCGAGAATTGATAACAGCGCAGCAGCACTCCCCAAAAAATAAAAAAGCTCAAACATGGCGATGGCAAAAAACAAAAAATTCATGAACACCAGCAAACAAGAAACGAAAACAAACATAAGATAAGTAAGTAAGGGAAAGAAAAACAGAAAAAATTAAATTTTGTCCACATCAAAGTCGTAAAAATTTAAATATATTTGTGTGCAGCCCACACAAAATGTACTGGCATTAATACAGTAGAGACAAACTTTGAAAGTTTATTCGCACGAAACAGATTAGTCAAGACTTACAAAGTTGTTAAAAACCAGTTTAGGTTAAATTTAAATGCGATTAATAATAAGTTAAAAGGGCATTCTCAGAATTTAGTCCAGTAATTGAAAGAGCAAGCTTTTACGATTATGTGGCTTAAAATCAGTGGTAAGAAAATCAGCAGTGGAGTTTGCCTAAGAACAAAGTTACGATTTGATAAGCTTAGCTTTCTCATCTCATTTCATCTTATCGATTCTCCACTGTATATATTTCTAATGATCGCGTCCGAGCTGAGCTTTGTTTATCAGCTCACACTTTGCTCTCAACCCACAACAGTAAAAATAAGAACAACAATGACGACCACGTCTCAACCTTCGACAAGCTGGGATGCCAGCTAAAGCCCAAGTTCCAAGTTTCAGTTCCCAGTCGACACTCGAGCGGCGCACAACTCATCGGAGTGTAAAATCCGCACGTCTCTAAGATGATCTTTAAAACCCTGGCGATCGTATCGCTGTGCCTGGCCAGCATTCAGGCCTCCAAGGTGGGACCACCACAATCTCAGCTGCCAAAGAAGCATCTGGTCTGCTACTATGATTCAGCCAGTTTTGTCAAGGAAGGTAAGTTAATATATAGTATAAGTTTTAAATTCACTTTTTTTCCTCTTTTTAAATGTTATGTAACCTCCGCTGGAAGTTGCTAATTAGAAAAGATGAAAACGAAATCGAAAACAACCAAGCTTATCAACAAATACTTGGAACTTATTTTGTGTAGTTTATTTGCTTTTTCAGCACAGAGGAAAATAAATTTTATTTGATCATAAATTTGAGTAGAAAAAGACATAAATTCTATGTTTAAATATATTTTATAAAATGAAGTGTTAAAAAAATTAATAATTTAATACCGGAAACAGTTTGATTTAGGACTTTAAACATAAATTAAAAATAATCTAACAATCTATAAAACAAAGTCTGGGTTTTTCCCAGTGCTTAGAACCTTCTTGCTAATCTTTTGAAATCCCCTCCTTAATCTAGGTCTGGGCAAACTGGTGATCGATGAACTGGAGCCGGCTCTGCAGTTCTGTGACTATCTCATCTATGGCTATGCCGGAATCGAGCGCGATAGCCACAAGGCTGTGAGTCTCAACCAGCAGTTGGATCTCGACTTGGGCAAGGGACTGTACCGTACTGTGACCCGCTTGAAGCGCAAGTATCCCAATGTTAAGATCCTGCTAAGCGTGGGTGGTGACAAGGACATTGAGCTGGACAAGGATGCCAAGGAGCTGCCCAACAAGTACCTGGAGCTGCTGGAGAGCTCTACAGGACGTACTCGTTTCGTGAACACCATTTACTCCTTGGTGAAGACTTACGGCTTCGATGGGTTGGATGTGGCCTGGCAGTTCCCCAAGAACAAACCCAAGAAGGTGCACAGTGGTATTGGCAGTATTTGGAAGGGCTTCAAGAAGGTCTTCTCTGGCGATTCGATCGTTGACGAGAAGTCTGAGGAGCACAAAGAGCAGTTCACTGCTCTGCTCCGAGATGTCAAGAATGCCTTCCGTCCGGACAATCTGCTGCTCTCCACCACCGTGCTGCCCAATGTAAACTCATCTTGTAAGTATCTTTAATAGTTCAGTTTTCTTGGTGTTAGATCTCTAATCCAATATTTTTCTCACAGTGTTCTACGATGTTCCCGCTGTGGTCAACTACCTGGACTTTGTGAACCTGGGAACCTTCGATTTCTTCACACCCCAGCGTAATCCCGAAGTGGCTGACTACACCGCACCCATTTACGAACTCAGCGATCGCAATCCCGAGTTCAATGTGGCTGCTCAGGTTAAGTACTGGCTGCGTAATAGCTGCCCTGGCAGCAAGATCAATGTGGGTGTGGCCACCTACGGTCGCCCATGGAAACTGACTGATGATTCTGGCGATACTGGTGTTCCCCCGGTCAAGGATGTCAAGGATGAGGCTCCAGTGGGTGGCAACACTCAGGTGGCTGGAATCTACAGCTGGCCCGAGGTCTGTGCCCTGCTGCCCAACCAGAACAATGCCTATTCCAAGGGTGCCAATGCTCCGTTGACCAAGGTCCAAGATCCCGCCAAGCGTTTCGGATCGTATGCCTATAGGGCAGCCGATAAGAAGGGTGATAATGGAATCTGGGTGAGCTTCGAGGATCCTGATACCGCTGCCGATAAGGCTGGTTACGTGCGCACTGAGAACTTGGGAGGAGTTGCCCTGTTTGACTTGTCCTATGACGATTTTCGAGGACTCTGCACCAACGAGAAGTACCCCATCCTCAGGGCCGTCAAATACCGCCTGACCAACTAAAATGGGTATCCTTTTGATTTATGTCTAACTGACCATGTGAATGAAATGCTTTATCAAGAAATATTTGTCCCATTAATATTTGTAATGTCATAAAGAGCCATAGAACATATAATAGCTTGAGTTAATGTTTCTTGCGGGGGAGGTGGTAAGATGTTAGATACGAATGAAATATATTTGGGGTAATTGGTGTTAATTATATGGCACAGAAGGTCATAACAGGAAGGAGCCAACTTGGTCTATGAGGACATATGTACCTTTCCCAAACTCATTTTCTTGATTGCCTGCTGACAGAAACCTTCCTTATATATATATGTGCACATTTTTTATTAAATTCATTTATGTTTCTTATTTTTATTGCATCTCTCATATACATATCGATTTCTACTACATATATACATGCTCCACATTAATTTCGCCCCAACTCTCTGTTCATAAATAAAACAAACAGAAGGCCCTGGGGAATATTTAGGCAGTCGCTGTGACTTGTGCGCCGCAGGCTCTTTATGCTCTGATGAATAGCCGAAATCCAATTGACTTTGACAGAAAATACGTAATCGGCTTCATCATTAAAGCGACCAGAGTGGCTGACACCCCACCAAGTATCGGAGTACCCGAAAAGCTGCCAACCAGAAAGCTCCGAATTGACTGCTCAACATTTGTCATTGAAGTGAAAACGTCGAAAATTTCGCATACGCAGCGTATTACACACTCAAACTCGGCAGATATATATGTTCTGTATATAGCTCAGTGTTATGCACGATTTCACAACTACAACAACAGCAACTCCCAGACAAAGGCATAAAAAGGCTCTCGAAGGGGAAGGGGAACAGCGAACAACAATCCAAAACGAAACGAAAGGAATGAAATGAAACGTGCAATGGACGAGATGAGAGGAGCTCTATCTTTTTGGCCCTGCCAGCATCTCTACATCCTTCACTTTCTACCATCTCCTCCTGGGGTATTAGAAACCATTTACCTTTCCGCACAGGCCCCATTACACATGCATATAGACGGCAGGTTGGAATTGGAACCGACGAGCCACGACGACAGCCTAAACAATTTTTAAAGGTAAACTTTGCCTACAATTTTCAATTTACAGAAGAGCTTCCATGCAATGAACATCAGAGGATGTTGGATATCAACAGAATCATTCAGTAAGAACATTAAAGCTGTATCTATAAGCCATAGATTTGGGTTTAGTTTAACATTAACTAAAAGCTGGAAGATTATATTTTATTTATATAATTTCAAGACAAAGCGATCCCTAAGCGCTAATGTCGGTTGAATTTCAATACATTTCTAGTTAGACCAAGAACACAAATTCCAATCACGTTCTAGTTACAGACATCCTCCTGTATTTCGGCTAAGAGGCAAGGATATTCCCATTTATGGGTATAAAGTTGGGAGGTAAATGGAGGAGAGAGCGCGTGCGGCGGGGATTTGGCACTTCAGGCATACTCTTCTTTATGTATATTTGGCCTCTCTATGTATAGTTAAACGCTTTGGCCAACATTGCGTATGAGTGCTCTGTGTGCGTTTTACGTTTGCCTTTGGCTGCCTGCTGGCTGCTTTGGAGCACGCATATTGCGCATACGCCCTCCTGGCCACGCTATATCGAATAAGTTTTTACTGTAGCTGAGTTGCTAGTGCCGCGTCTACTACTCTTTATGCTCAAATAATTGGATTAGTGTTTCAACGCCCTACACAGCAGCAGCAGCCAACTACTTCCCTCCCCCTGGGATCTCCTCACCCGTTTGCACCCGTAGTTTTATTTGAGATTTTCCTCTTTTTTTTGTGCCCCGTTGCCGGGGATTAGTTTGCACTCCTCTGCCACATAAATATATATATATATTCATATGTATATATGTTTAACAGCCTGCGGTGTTGTGCCAACGAACCGAATTAGTTTTCATGTTATTTGCAGAGGTTTCTGGAATATTTAAATTTTGTATTTATCATGGCCCAGGCAAATAGGAAATAGAATGTTAAAAAAAGATAACATTTTGCTGGGTATGTTGTTTAGTAATCAAAAAAGGAAATCAGGTTTGTTTTACCTTTGTAAAGAGCATGAAATGTCCCAAAAAACGTCTAAAAAATATTCACAACTTAAGAAAGTGGTTCGAAATGATTAACTGCCTATGAATTGGCGGATTTTTCTTTTCAAAAATTGGATTTGATTGATTTGCTGAGTTGGAAGGAGGAAAGCCATTAGCCGAATCCCCAGCTCTTTTGCTGTTTCAATTTTGGGGATTTTACTTTGGAAAATAAAATATATATATCGTAAGTTGAAAGCAGAACAACTTTTACCTTGAAGGAGCAGCAGCAGCAGGAACAGCTGGAGCTGGAGAAGCAGGACCCGCCAAGGAAATACAAACAAAAGCCGAAGTAGCAACTTTGAGTGCAGGATGGGAAATGGCATTGGCCATAACGAATATGTATTTTTGATTCCCCCAGCTAGTGTTATTATTGTTGCTGTTGCTGTTCCTTCACTGCTGCTGCCAACTCGTAACAAGTTAAGCAACTTTGGACAGACATCAGAAGTTGCTGGAAGGATTTTCGTTCAGGCAGCTTTGGGACTGTCAACAGCTGTGCCCGCCGGCAGCTGAAAATCCCTAAATGGGGATGGAGTTTATATCCCAGCCAGTTGAGCTTTGTTTTGTGCCACCTGGCATCGCATAACTCAAACAGATATTAGAAATTAGCAATCGGTTGAGAGATCTCCAGAACCTTAAATATTTACTTGGGGCATCCGCCTTAAATTATCCTTTTTTCCTCAGCAAAAACTTTTCACTGTCATTTGCAGAGAAGTGTTGTGGGGGAAAATGGAAAATTCTCCCCTTCGACCATTATCTTCTCCCTCCACCAAAAGGAAAACACACATTCGCACACATGGCGAGAGAAGCAACAACATTTATGGGTTCCAGCAGCAGTTGGCTTCCGCAAGTCGGTCGGCAAATTGCCAATGTTGCTGCAGACGGGAAATGCTTTACTTGATTTAGCTGCTAAGTGCAACTTGAGGCGAGGATGGTGGAGACAGAAATTTCCACGCCGCATGTTGCCAGGAAGCAGCAACAATTCTGGCCTGTGCAAGGATTTTTCGGCAACAATCCTGCCATAAATCCCCTTGGCGCTTGTAAAAACAATTATGCCAGATATTTACGCCGCAAAAGGGGCAATGCAACAGCAACAGCAACGGCAACGGCAACAGCGGCATCAGTGGCAGCAACAGAAACAGACGACGAAAATTTGCTGTTAACATTTTTGGCTTTTAATTGCAGTGTCATGGCCCGCTTTTACCCTCTTTACTCGCCTACTTCCCAGCCATTTTCCTTGCCACAGGCGGCGTATGCGTAATATATCGCCTACATGTGCCTGGCATTAAGGCAATTCACACACATACACATACAGAGATGCAAGAATCAAAAGAAAAACAGTGTAATTATGAACTTTTAATTAAAGCGTTAAACAAATAATAAAATGGAATGGATAGCTGCCGGCAATCCGCAATATCACTTCCCGCCAGAAGGTAAGCCAGGTGAAAAGTGGAAAATGACTCAGCCGAGAAGGACTCTTACACTGGCAATGTAGCAGCAGCTGTCGGCTGATCTGAGAACCCATCGACAGTTTCGAATGTCCATTTTGTGAAGCTCTTTGGCTCCTTTCACAAGACAAGGGAGTATCTAATTGCTTGTCAGTGTATGGGAAAAGTTTGTACGTGTTGGGCACAGGCGGTCATAAAATAAGCAAACGTTCTCTTCGAGCCCAAAAGGATAATGGAATAGTGCAGGAAGGTTGAGGGAAAATACTTTAAAGTTTAAGAAAATTATTAAACTTTTCATGTTTTCAGATCATTAAGAAGATGTATCCAAAGATGATATTATTAAGTTAAATACAGATAAATTTGGTTAGTAACTTTATTTAAATTACTAAATGAACTTTCAAAATCCTATAATCCAAGCACATCCCACAGTAATAGCAAAGCTAAAAGTTATTTTTATGAAAGCCCTAAGTATCTTGTGCTTTATGGTTATATCCTTTATAGGTCCTTAAAAATTCTGGAATACTTTACTAGCTTTACTCGCCACTATTCCACCATAAACATAACTAACCAAGGCCATAACTTTGGCTTTAACTTCAGACCAACTTGAGTATAAATTTGCAAGCTCATCTGGGCAAAGGAAACGACTCTTAGATCTAATAGCTCATATTGCAAACGACACTTTTGTGGCCTGTACGTGAGAATGGTTGTTGGTTTCCGGTTTCCTTTTTTTTTTTTGTTTTTGTTTTTCTTCTTCTGCCTTTGGTACGTGTGTGAATGTGTGTTTGTATTGACAGCCGTATTTCCTTTTCACGGCAAACATTCAGTTTTTGTAGTCACGTTTCAGCGCTTTAAGCGGCTTCATGTTTTCGACATTTCCAGGCAAGAGGCAAAAAACTGCCCCGAATGGGGTTACGGTTAGAAACCAAAGGTAGAGGACGGCGATATAGCCTTGGTTACCATGGCGTAAAACAAACATAACTAAAAGCAAACACAACCGTATAAATAGCCATGTGTGTGCTTTAGTTAACCGCACAAAAACCGCTCATTTCGAGAGGGGATATTATACCTTATTTAACACACAGGAAGAAATAATTATCCCGAATTTAAATATTTTATAAGAAATTTATGAAAAATGCTTAAAGTTTGAGGGCTCTTCATTTTGTATTCACTTACATTATGGCGCTTCCTTTCCCTTTCCGGAACCGGGTGCCAGCTAAACTGCAGATTCCAATCAAAGCCACCAACATTAACTCCAGTAGAATCGCGATAATGATACTCCAGGGTCTCATCACTAATGACATCAATCACAGGACATACGACAGTGGTGGCATTGCGGGCAATCCTATCCAAAAGTGGTTCCAGCCAGCCTGTAAAAGGTTAACCAAAAAATATATATAAAAAAAATCCAATATTCAGCCCTCAAAGAGATCAAATTAATTTGTCAAAAATATCCATTTATTGTCCGGCATAATTGCTTTTCGAACAAATCCATCAGCGACAGAGAGAACGATGTATTTTTCCCTTTGTGTTGGTTTTGTTTACTTTCTGGCAATCAGTTGCCAAGTTTCCCAATGAACTAAATTGATTGCCTTTTTTGTACGTTTACTTATCGCTCTCTTCACTAGCTTAATAAAAGCAGAAAATGAGAGGCAAAAATAGAAGCAGAGTCGAGGCCTAATATCGAAGATTAAGTGATTTTTCTAGAGCTCGGCTCTTGTTTTATTGGAATCGTTTGCGTCCCATGGGATTTGGTTTGATGGTCATCAAAATTGAGTATCCAAAAGAACATTACGCTCGACAATAAACGAGATGCGAGACAAAAGTCCCTTGGGAAATGGCTAAATCTGAGTTAATAGAAGAAGATTGTAAAGCCATTCTTTGGCGGCATTAAAAATTGCCATTTAACTTTGATTTTGGTTGCCAACTGACACATATATATTTCAAATATTTATTTAACCTGAATTTTTTATGGAGCAAAACGGACTAACGAAAGTTGGTTAGTCAATTAAGAGCTTAATTTGGGCAATTAGCATATTGACAATATTGCAAATTGAATGGAAATGGCAAAAAAGAGAGGTGGAAAAAAGTGTGCTGCATACTTTCAGGCAGCTTGAATATTTCATTGAATAATGAATTTAGCAACTCACCTTCTGTGCACTCGCAATGGGAGTCCAAATAGGTGAGAACGGGTGACTTGGCATGATTGGCACCCAAAATTCTGGCTCGAATCAGACCCTCTCGTTTCTGGCCTCGGATAATCTGAACCTTGGGATAGGCGGCAAAGTAATCCTCCAGCTGCCTCTTCAAGTGAGCTAAAAATGGTTGTATGTTGCTATATAAATCGTGTAAAATAGGCAAACTTCATTTATAACTCACGCATATCACTGTAATCGTCTACCAGAATAATCTTTCCTATAAGATGTTCTGGTGACCTGTCCAACACCGAGTGAACTGTTCTCAGCAGCACAGTCCAGGCTTCATTGTGGAAGCAAATAATGACATCGGTCTTGGGCAAATTGGTCAGATAACGTGCCTCATCCTTGCACCATGCATCTCGCGGATCAGGCAGATTACGATGAACTGATATCAAATCCGAGACATATTGATTAAAGGCGTTTTTGGTCCAGCCATCGTCAACGGCCTTCTTCATCTCCTCAGGCATTTCCTTGGGCAGACGCACCGGTTTGCCCAACTCGCCAGGATTCTCCTCAACTTCGCTCGGAGGTTCAATCACTTTTTTGTTGTCTGCAAAAAGAGAGTAAAATAAGAAAAATGGTAAGTGCCGACAACAATACTTTATATTTGCACCCAAATTGTGAGTCAAAGGTAAACTGAGCACCTAGCCAGGATGAAGATAAAGCTTTGTTATGCGTGAAATTTACGACAAAATACAAGGACAAACACTCAGTTCCTGGTGCATTGCACATGAAAAGTTGCCATCATCAGAAGGATGCTGCTTCACAGGGTCATGAAAAATCGTTTGCCTTGCAAATTTCCTCACATACATGAGTGTGGTAGTGCGAGTGTGAGTGTGGAAGACACCCAGCTTCTGTTCTACTCCCGCAGCCCATTTCCATTTTCCATGTCCTATGCTATCAGTGTTTTTCTACTTGCTGTGCATTTTATTATTTTGTTATTTGCATTTGCATGGAAATATGAATTCCCTGTTTTCAGCTGCTACCTCCGCTCCAGCTAGCTTTTCCACCATACATAAATAGTATATATATATACTGTTCCATTTCCCTCTGCTTTCCCTGAATCTGCATCTGCTTTTTATGCGATTTGTCAGCCACAAGTGACACTTATTGGGCATCGCCTGAATGCCTGTCTGTGTCCTTTCATTGTGTGCGTGTTCGTTGTCCTTCGGAAAACGGGACAACATTAATGGAAATTTCTGAGAAGACATACTCAGAGAGACAACCTGACTCGCTGCTTGAGGGGATTACAAATTTAATTAAAAGCATTTTCTTTGCTTAAAATCACTGTTGTTATACTTTCAGACGGATTAAGGATGCTTAAAGAAAATAAACTCAAAATCGGTTAGAGTTTTTGGCTTAAAGGTATTAAGGTGAATAACCTTTATAATCTTATGCTCAGAGCTTGGCCAAAAGCAGTAATTTTGCATTTTACGCTGGCCCTAAAAGTATCTTTCGTTGGACTAAGGGACAGATCTAATCTGTGAGACATCCAAATTCCGAGATATTTTGCAATTAAGAAGAGACTTCCAAACACCGTTTGGCAGAGTTTAAAACTCTTACTGGCCATTATCATAAAAAGAATCTTTGATTCCGAAGACAAAAGGTTAAAGTATAATAAAAGCCAAGAAATAATTAAACAATTTTTATTGCAAACCTATCTGAAAATCGAACTTCAGTTTTAGAAATCAAATCACGAGCTAAACCTGTTCAATTAATAGCCCCATAAAAACCTAACTGAATTCTTGGCCACTAAAAGGCCGTATTAACTGGTTTCCTTTTAGCTTAAATCTTTTTCTCGACAGACCAGGAGATTCCATTCCCAGCCAAATTGAGAAACATATTTCTGGATTGGCGGACATATTCTGGCCATACCCAGTGGCCAAGTTTCAGCCATGCAAAAACATTTCAATTACCACAATCATTTCAATTTCAATAAGCATAAAAAGGCTAGCTGGCAAAATAAAAAGCCATAAAAGGCTAGGAAATAAGTGGGATGAGTCGAAATGGGAATATTCAGCGGGGGGGTTCGGGGATACCAACCGCATTATGCCACAGAGGGGCCTAACCAAGAGGCCAATCAGCCGACAATAAATTCGTTCGCACAAAAATGGAAAATAAGAGAAAAACCATTAAATTGCCCAGAGGCGGCTGGCTTAAAAGGGGGACTTGACTGAGGGGGTACAAAGGGCGGGGCGGGGGGTGGTAAACTCAACTCATAAATTTTATGATTTGTCGCCGGTTGCCGTAGTTACAACTTCATTGCTGAATGTTCACGCGTGCGCCAAGGACTCGAGCCTGCATCCTTAGTTCCGGAGCTCCAGTTTCCTTTTTCTTTTTTCCTCCTTGCCCCCTCTCATCCTTAAATCCTAACCCACACCCTTCTTTTTGTAATGAACTTTTTTGCATGCTGGGCTCGCACACGCATCATCATAATAAAAAACAATAAAAAAAAAATATTGCCAGAGGACGCGGAGGAGGGACTGTAACTGGATTTTATGTCTTTTATTGATTCACTGTAGCATATTTATGGCCTCTTTCGATATTAATGATTCCGCCCATACAGCGCTGGCGATCTCTTTTCCTTTCATTGTTGTCCCTTTCCCACTGACGTGAGGTAACCCAATTATGGTCACGCCCTCTTTGGACAAAGGTGAGTCCTACAAAGTTGTATATATATTATGTGTGCAGATTTTTTACATCCCTATAAATCTTTGGCTATATCTGATATGGGTGGGAATTATTGCCAGGTCGCCAAAAAGGTATTTATAACGCAAAATCATAATTAATCAATGTATTTTCTGACATTTTCTTCATTTATTCTCTGCAACTTCCTCTTTTTTTATGTATCAAATAAATCAAATGTTGTCAATTTATAAATTATATGCTGCCTTTTTCTTAAATATGTCAACATAAATCAATATCTACCCAGAAAGTGATTGTGAATTATTGATAGTTCTTGGGAACTTATATTCCCTAGCAATTGCTTATAAATAAAATAATAAGTAAACCTTACTAAATGAGCATCTTAAGAATAAAAAAACAAGTGTCAATAAAACCATAAACCATTCATGTAATGTTAAAAATATTTAAATACAAATTGCTTTTAGTTTGCAAACTTGTTTTGTTCTTCAACTTATCCCCATCAAGGTAAGTGATAATTGATCAATCAACTGTCAACTTTTTCCTCTCAACTTTTGCATATCAATTCACCTTCAACTTTTGTGCATTTGCCAAATCGAAGTTGACATTATTTTTTTTTTTTTCTGTTGTTGAGTTGCCAGCTCAGCGTGGCGTATGCGTTATGTTTCCATGTGCCGGCATGCAGAAGAGGTTGTACAGTGCAGGGGCGGTGTAAAGGAATTTGTGTAGAAGGGTGGGTGTGGGGGGGTTAAGTGGGATGGGGCCGATAGACAAAAGGAGACAATCGCAGTGAACCGAGCTCGAGGGACACGCCTGAGCGTGACAGGAAGCTATAAATGTTTTGTTATAGACAGCGACAGCAGGTGGAAAAAGGGGGCTGGGGCGATGTTCTATAGAGGAAGGGGGCGTGGCCACATGACAAATGCCCTAATGTGTGAGTGTAAGAGTGTGTATATGTGTGTGTGTGTGTAAAGGGAAGGCAACTGACATATCGGGTGTTTTGGCTGCGTGCCTGCGTTTCATCATCATGTTTTTCGCATAAAAGTAACATAATATGCCAAAGTGCCGTTATTTCGCTCAATGCTAAGGGGATTTCTCTGAAAGGAATCTCTCTATATATACAGATGTATATGTATTAGCCGCGTGCTTGTGTGTGTGTGGGCCATAAATAGCAATAGACATGCAAAGAACATGAAACAAATCAAGCCCATGGATTAGCATTGATTAAAAAAGCAACGGGGGAAATATGTTATACAAAAACCTGGTCAAATCAATCTGGCCCTAAAGGGGGCGTAACCATATTGCCGTGTATATATAAAATCATTATCGCTGCTAAATTGTAAAAACAAGAATTATGCATATATGAAGACCAGAAAAAGAACAAGCAAAAAAAAAATAAACAGCACAAAGAAGACGATCGGGAGGTAAAAGGTGGCCAGGGAAAACGGGCCAACGATCAAGATAAGATGGCCAGCAGGCAGGTTCCCTTGGCTTGGCATTATATAGTAGGGACCGATCCCAATGAGAAGAGGGGAAGCGGGTGTTGGAAGCGTGGTATATATTGGGGGGGTCAGTATGCCTTAAGAAACCGATGCGAGCGCGCGATAAACGTCGTGTTGCAGCCACTCCGCAACCTCTTACCATTTTAGCCATTTCGGTGGTGGTAACGCGCCCCAAGGCCAAAGCCAATAAGTACAACAACACTAATTACCAGCTATGAACACCGAACCGGGAAACTTTAAGGGAATGCAGCGGTAAGGAAAACAAAGGGAATCCAAATGGAGGAGTATCCATGCCACAGTGGTAACTTCCTAGCAGTCAGCGAATGCGAACCCCCCATCGCGAAAGCGACTTAAAGTTATGGCCCCGCAAAAGAATGATCTATTTCGAGACCATAACCCCATTGTTAGTTAGTTAGTTGATCCACATGCCATGTTGTAAAACCGTTCTAGACCATCTCAAAAGAAGTCCAAAGAATTATTCTTACAGAGCCATAAACCAAAGTTAATGGGTTGCTTTCAAGAGAGTCGCTTCGAGATTAAGATAAGTAGAATGGGTTCCATCAAAATGTAGAATGTATCAGCGTTGGAACAAGTTTCGAATATAAGCCATTAGTATTCCATTTCACCAGATGAGTAAGGAAACCTGTTTAGCTAAGCATTTCTAGTTTTAAGAAATCAAAATTTAGTTAACTATAGTTAAGTTATAGTTAAGTCAAGTTTTAATGTATGAGTAATCCTTTTCCTGTTTATATTCTTTAATATTTTTAAGGAATTATTTATTAAGCTTGGTTTACTTAATGAAAAATCATGAAATTTAATGCAATATATTAAAATGTTATCTTATATTGATCAGGGAAATAATCAACAAAATAAATAAATGCCATGCAAAAAACAGTTTTTATGAAGACATTTCTGAATATTTATGAGATAAAAAAGAAGATAACCTTAAGTGATAAAAGGCCATTTATTTTCGGTTTGTTAAACTGCAAACTTGCTTAAAAACAAGATTAAGCTTTTCATTTCCTATAACTCTTAATCGGAATCACTGTGCCCGGCAAATCAATAGTTCGCCCTGTGCGAGCCCTTTTACTGGGAGTGTTGGTAAACGTTTGTAGGCTTGCACACAATTTTGACGCCATGGGGCAGCTGCTGATGCCTCCGATGCTGCAGATCTGGCAGACTTGCTGCCAAGGATCGGGGTCCAACTTGTAGCTTTGCCACCTCAAAGCTGATGAGCAGATGCTGCTGCACCACGACCACGAGGATGGTGATGATGAAGATGATAGAGGGATGGGGATATGGGTATATGGGTATGCGAATGATGATGATAATGAAGGAGCAGCGAGGAGCGAGAGATGCAAACATGATATGCGAAATTGCAAATACGTGCATTGTCTGCCAGGAAGACTAGATCTCCCAGCTCAGCTCCAGAGCTCCTCATCTCCTCAGCTGCAAAGCCCCCAGGATCCCCCCTGTTTTACCCCAACCTGAGCGACCACATGCTGATGCAATCTTAAATGCTTGTTCCACATGCGAGGCAATAGATGAAGGAGGGTCTTACGTACAGGAAGCTACAAGCTATGGACCCCGTCTAGGCCCACATCCAATTCCCAGACCTGGCATGGCCCATCGGAATCGCCATCGCCGTAGCCATCGCCCCCTTCCTCAAAATTCATGGCTGGTTGGCTATGGTCTGGCTTCATTGATTTGCCTGGGCGGCCAGTCAAGTGTCCATTGAGTAAAATCCCAGGGCCAGCTCTCCTAAGCCTTGACTTGATTAGTAAGTAACATTAATTTTTTGTTTCTCCTTTCTCCTCACCCACCAAAGCCTAATGTGAATATCTATCTCCAGGTTCACCCCCTCCACACACACACACACACACACTCGCTGGTTTCCCTCGCCCTGACATTGAAAATGCTGTTTGGCAGCAATTCCAAGTTGTTAAGTGCTCCATGTTGTTGTTCGGGTTGTTAGTGCTCGCCGCTGGCATCTTCGACATTGTTGTAAAACTTGTTAGAAATTTTCTTAAAGGCACAAAGGCGGTGGCCAAAAGAAGGAAGTGTGACAGCAGCAAGTTTTCCATCGCAGTTGGTTGTGGGAAATCTGCGGGCTCGAGCGGGCAAGAAAAAAAAAAGGCGAACACAGGAAAGCAATATGTGTTATTATCCCCCGTTTGGCACTATTCTATGCGTTCTTCTTTCAGCATCTTGTATCAAAAACGCGCAACGGGCTGGTGACCCAAAATGCAATCTACCAAACAAGGATTGGAGGATGTGTGACCGTAAAATACGAGCAGAAACATTCAGAGCGAGGGGGGCGATGCGGGAGAGGGGGAAAATGGTTGAAAACGAGGAGGAGATTTCGCCTGCGTGTGCATTGAATTGATGGGAATTAGTTGCAAGCGATTGCGTGGAAATGAAGTGCAAAAAACTCAACTCGTGGATGCAAAAAAAAGGGGGCAGCGAGGGAAAACTAGAATCGCTGGCATCGATAACAAGACCAGAAAAATCCAGCTGAATAGCTGGGCGAAAAGCGGGAAAATCGCAGGGCTCTGAGTCGGAAATAAATGTGCAACTGATTTCAATATAAATGCTTATTGTTGAACACAGACCAGAGGGATTCCGATATGCAAAGTGCATTGGGCACTAATGGGCTAAGAATGTGCTGAATCGAAAAGGGAAAAGCCCTAGATAAATCTTAGGGAAAATCAGAATGACCTGGCTAGTTAGTATAACTCTTTCTAAAAGTTTTCAAGGTGGGTAAGGTAACGAAATTGTTACTTTAAATATTCTTTTTGTAAGAAAACTTTATATTGTAGAGATAAAAATCTATATTAAATAACAACAATAAATAAAGTAGATAATGTTCGTTATAAATCTCTAACCATAAACCATTAACCATTGTTTATGTCTTCAATGAAAACTCACCATCATTCGCCTTCTTCTTGGGCTGCTCGGCAGCCTTCTTTCGCATCCTTTCCGCTTGATGGTCGACCTTGTGTTTGCCCACTGTGGGTGGGATATCAGCCTCATCATGCGCCTGCTTTTGACCACCTCCTCCGATGACATTCCCATTGACGCCAAAGTCCTCGCCAGCAGGGTCGTTCCTCAGGGCCAGAGCAATTGGATCCCCCAGTCCTCCACCTCCACCACCACCCACGGCGCTGCCCGCTCCACTGCCACCCTCCTGAGAGGCTCTTCGTCGTGTGTCATCCGTGTAGACCAGAAAGGCTATGCAGAACCAAATGGCCAGGAGGAAGGCCACCAGCTTCACAATCGTTGTGGAACGTCTTCGCCAGATGAAGGCCATCTTTGGTTTCTGGATTTGTGGATTCAACTTCTGTGCCTGATGATGATGATGATGATGATGTTGTTTATAACCCCAGAAGGTGCTAATGGAAGCCGATTCTATATATCACTCTTTCTCTCTGTCTGTTTGTCTCTCCCTCTCTCTGTCTCTTTTTGAGCGATTTGAGCTTTCACTTAGTTAGAGTCCAACTCAGGGGCCGACAACATTGCGTATACGCAACATTAATCAAAGCCTGGCAATGATTTATGATGCAGGATATGTTTTTCTTCTTTTCCAATCGTTTGTTAGTATTTTTTCTTGTCTCCTCAACTGATATGCGTTGTCCCCTTCTGGAAGATATCATCTACGGTTTATAACAGTCTGTGGTGTCAATCAGTCTGAAGCGCCTGGATATGTGTGAAAAAAGAGCCTTGGGAATAGAAGGATCCTTGGGATGAGCCTGTGGACGAAAGATGCAAAAATAACCATAAGTTTTGAATTTAATCTAAAACCCTCTCGGGGCCAAGTCAATGCAATTAATTTATATGACATTAAGCTATTAAATTGAAAAGCAAATCAAGTAATTGACTCATTAAAGATAATATTGATTTTGGATTTCTGCTGATGATGCCGCATCTTTATCTTCATCTTACGAAGCTGCCTCTGCTGCTGCTGCTGTTGCTGTTGCTGTTGCTGGATTTTGCAATTAAGATCGAAGCTCAAAGAATCCCTCAATCTCTGGCCTCGTCACAAACATAAAGCGACGGCCAACATGCAACTAATGTCAATATTATATAATTGCAGCAAAAACCGCATCAGAACTTTGTACCGATCCGCACTGAGCCCACCGAAAGCCCCCACACTGCACACCTTTGCTCTTGCCACTTGAGTGGCTGCCAGGTAAATGACATGGACACGCCACTTGAGCCCCCAAGCCAACGAATCAGAACGGGACAGAGGTGGCCTTACCGAGTAGTGGAGTCCATGCCCAACACAGAACAGCATGTGCATGTGCAACATGCTGAGAAAATTGCACCTGAATTGGGCATTAATTAGGGCGTTTTCACATCTAAAATGGTTATGTCTGGGACATTTTTTTAATTATTAATATTAAATGTTGGCTAAAATGTGGGTTTAATATCTATAAAATCAAAAGTAAAGGTATAATTATAAATAAAATCACAAAATTATACTTCTTAACACCATTTAAAGTCGGTTTACAAACTCTTAAAATTTCTTTTGAGTTTTTCCGAGTGTAAAATGAAGTTGGTTAGGGTGAGGAGCTCAAGTGGTTGGCCCACAGAGAGTAGAGTTGCGTGTCAGGTTGTTGCAGTGCATCCACCGAGAAGAAGCAGCAGCAGAAGCGGCAAAACAGCCGCAGAAAACAAGAAATTGTGGTTCCCTAGCCCCAGCTAACCGCAGTTGAATACCCTTCGATGCTAATCCAATTAGCGAGTGCTTCTCCGCCTGCGGAGTGGGTTATGTGAATGGCAAATGTTTAAGCTTGCGTTTGATATTGTTTTCAATTGAATTAGTGCCAGGATTATATCCCTGACCCTGGTCAACCACTCCTATTCAAGTTGACACCCGGAGTATGAGCTAGAGGTAAGCCAATTAAAGGGCTTTAACTATTTTTTAATCTGGTTTTCTGTAAACAACTTTTTAAAATTAGAATATTATTTAATTACTTTCATTCCCAAGTATACAGTGAAATGACTAAAAAACTAATATTTGCCTTAAATCGGGATTACATTTTGCAAAGTGTAAGCCCAGTAGCGAAGCTAATTTCCCTTAGAGCGCAGTCTATTAAGGAAAATGTATATAAAAAGAAGATGGAAACTAATAAACATTAGCCGGGGCCAGCCTTGATCGGCAATTCTTGACCACCGCCATGGCCAGAGATTGCAGTTCTGGCCCCCTAAAGTAATTGGCTGCACATGATGGTCAGAAGAGAGAGAGAGAAAGAATGCCTTCCTCGAGGGAAAGAGCACATGCATCCAAGGGCCAATCCAACTTGGAGCTTATCAATTAGAGGGCAGCATCATCCACTGCCTAGGGTCTTCTCCCTGGGTAGTATGCCCAACAAACTAACCATGGCAACTATGTGTGCATACAATAAATACAAGTTAATTACTTCGTGTGCCTTTTGTTATGGCTCGTTGGGTTCAAGTGCCATACAGGCCGCGCGACCCCCCTATGATTTTCCCTCACCCCCTGCTATGTTGGCAATTTCCGTTGTATGCGCTTATAAATTGAAAACAAAAGAGAAAGACTTTTGGGCTGAATACAGGGGGGGGGGTGATGTGGGAAAAAGGGGTCGTAACCAGCATGTCATGTCCTCACTCAGCTGTAAAAACAGCAACAAACACTCACATACACACACACTCCGTCGAAGTTTGCCCTGGCAAAATAGAGCGATTAAAGTTGGCAGACAGGTCGCCGCAGAGGGAGGGGGTCTAGTAGCAGTCTGTCAAAACCAAATGTTGACAATCTCAATTATTATTTCGGAGCCAGCCAAAAATACAAGCCAACAACACGCTAATTGCCGGAATTCTGCCGTCACTTTTCGACAACCGTCCAAAAAATTTAGTAATATTTATCAAAATTTCAAGTCAACGTCTGATTTTTGATTTTCCTTATCGTTTAGCGAACTGAATTCTTAATCGAAATTCCCCGACAGGCTATAATTGATGGGTTCTTTGATGGAAAAGGTGCAAAAGGTAGCTACTTGAAATTCCCTGCCGTTTAAATTTGTTTATTAATTAAAATGCTCTTCTGTCGCTGCGGCATTGGTTTCTGGCTGCGGTATACGCGGCGTATGCGCAATGTTTGGTTTGGGGTTTGGTCTTTCGGCTGACTGTTTAAATTTGAAATGCGGCTATTTGGCCAGATATCATAATATCTGCGTGGAAATCTATGGGGGAATATGTTCAACTCTAAATGGGTATTTAATGCCAGCATCTATTTTCATTTTACCAACGAGAATTCGAATGTGTTATTAGGGTTTCCATGGTTATTCCACTAGAAATTGCAGTTATTTTCATTAGCCTATACATACGGTTGGTTATCCACTGAAATATTCCTATATAATCATGTTGAGTGTGGATTTAAGAGGGCTGTTGAGTATTAATTTGCACAATATTTATCTTCTAACTTTCTGTTTATAATCTATTTTCTAAGTGCACACAAATTTATTGGTTTAAGGGGAACATCCTTGCAAACGGAAATAAAAAGTAATGTCCGCTTATCTATACGAAGGTTGTTGTTAAAAGTTTTAGTTTTGTTTTTGAATTTGTTACCCTGATGAGTTGCACTTTAGTTTATGCCGAAAATATCCAATTTCCGGCTTGATGATAGTGGCTGGAAACATTTATTATTCCTGCGATAAGGAGAGAACACAAAACCCAAAAATAAATTTTCTGAAACCCAAAAAAGTGATAGAGGGAAGGAAGTATAAGTGCTTCCATTGTTACAACCTCTGGCTGAACTTGTATTCCCCCTGGAGGCTACTCGTCTTCAACTTCTTCACCTACTGTCTTACCTGCTCTTTCGCTGCGTGTTCCGCCTTATCGCAGCGGCTAATTGACTGATAAGCGAGTCGAGCAATTTGTGCGTTCCCTGATGAGTCTAGTTAAGTTTCGGCCTTGTTCTGCTGCCCAGATAAGATACAATTAAATTCAATAGGCGGGTATGGCTAAGGTGGAAAAGAACATTTTCTCCGTAAATTGCTTTTAGTTTGGTTGGCCTTATCTATGCTCGGCATTAATCAGAGCTTTCAGAAATAATTGCAGAGATAATTCGTCGAACACTTAAGTGCAAATTAAAGGTGGAAAACGCAAAGGGGAAGGCAGTGTATAAGAAACCTCAAATTACGCATAACAAAGTCCAAGCATTTCATTTTTTTCGCATTTTCCTTTGAGCTCGGAAAAGAGCAGAAAAACTGAGGAGAAGAAGAAAAGTTTATTGTCACGGTTTCTTTCCTTTTTTTTTTTTTTTTGGTTTTCCTTGCTACTTTTTGAATACTTTTGCCCGGCGATCATTTGTCATTTTCTTATGCAGAAACTTTTCGTGGGTGGAGGAAGGAATTTTCCGGGCTGCGCATTTTCACGCTGCTTGCGGTTCACACAGTTTATAATCATTATTATTTATGCAGACTTAATCCACAGTTATTAAAACGCAGCCACAAGGAACTACCATTCTCTCCTTCACCACACTTTCCCCCCTCCCTCGTTTAATATTCATTTGCATTCACTGGCAAATGAAAAGTTTTCAGTTTCTAATGAGTTCTTGGTTCTTGGAGTGCATTGAAATGAAGTCGTTGTGTCAGAGCGGGTCAGAACTTCCCAGCCCGAACTTTGAAATAATGTCCAGCCGTAAGTCGAATTCGAGGATATGGCGAAACGTGTTTGAAAATCAGCGGGCGGGAAAAACTATGAAGAATACTATGGAAATGAACACACACACACTCGCGACCCCAAAAGTGGCTTAGAACACCAGGGCCAGAGACTGAGCCAGAAAACTGGGAGATGGATGCCACTGCCACTGCCACTACTACTACTACTGATGATGATGATGAGGTTGCCGCCACTGCAGTTGCAGTTGCAGCTTCGCTTCGCTTCGTGGAAAGAAAGTTGCCATGGAGAAAATTTAATCAAAATATTTGCACATCCGCCAGGCAGCGCGAAGTTGCCAAGGCGACTAGAATTACCAGTCTAAGAAGCAGACCAGCATCAGCACTAGCAGCACCATCTTGGCTGATTCGGTGGGGGAATGAATGGATGGGTTCGCTGCCAAGAGACAGACAATCAGACTAACAGACGGACAGGTCTTCTTCTTCTTCTTTCAAGCAGGTACAGTGAGAATCGCAGGCACCAGCACTAGCACTAACAGCAGCAGCAGCTCCACACACAAATTGAAATCTCAACGGATGGTAATTGAATTCCACACTAATTAGGCAGTGTAACCATACTTCTAGATTAGAGTTTTTAAGAGCAAAACTTTCAATGCAAATCTGATTACAATATTACAACCTGAGAAGATTTTTAACTTTCTTTAACTTCCATTTTTGTATTCTATTTCTCTCGTCCCACCAAAATTCCAACTATTTCCCCAGCCTTCAAAGCCAGTGCTTACTGTATTTGGCAGAACTCCTTTTGGGCATTTGGTTCATGTCACGGAAACCAGTCAAACCTCATTTGCAATGGCAAATGCAACCGACGCGCGACTTCATCTTCATCTTCAGCTTTAACTTTGCCTCAGAGCGGTGCATCACGAAACGCTTCTTTTTGTTGCAGGTTTCACAGGCAGCATGCAGCATGCAGCATGCAGCACATGCAGCATCTTTGGACTGGTTGTTGTCTTTGACAATTATTTACCGTTGGCGCTTAACTGTTAATTTGCGAGGCAGCCTGCCCCGGCAGGTAACCAGTTCGCTTCGCTCCAACGACGAGGACCTGTTCAAAGCTGCATCCTACCCATCCAATTTCTGTGACGAGCCGCGCCAACAATTGGTTGCATGCCACGCATTTTTTATGGCTCTTAATCTGACAAACGGGGGCACCAGAAATGCTTTTCCACACACACACACATACACACAGAGTTGTGGAAAATGTAATTAAATGTTTTTTCCTCTAACATCTGTTTCTTTTAGCCTCGCTCTCTCATCTGTCTGCCGTGGCTTTTTGCCGTTTTTGTGTGTGCACTTTTCATTGTTCGAAAATAAATTACAGGATGAGTGTGCAACGGGGGCTATTAAACTGCAATTAAATAATTGCCAGTCAACAAGATTCATGGATATGGCGTCTTTCACTCTTTGGGGATAACGAATTGATTGCCAATTTGAATGGAAACTCATTAGAAATGTCGTTAACATTGAGAAAGTTTTCTGCCAGAAACTAAATTCCCTAAAGTTGAACAAACTTGCCAATCTGATATCATCATCAACGTCGTCATTACCGGATTCACATAAACCAGAAATCAAATCAAATTATTTGTTTTCCCATTTCTTTGCCGCCAGACTTGATTTGATAATCTATGACAACGATGGCCACAAATCGTTTCCTTTTGTTGCCAGCTAACTTGTCAAAAAGTCGGGCTAGATTTTTGCCTAATTCATTCAGCAAACTGTCCAAAAGAAACTTGCCAAACTTGTTGGTCCAACCCAAAAAAAAAAAAAAAAAAAATTACAGAAAACAAGCTCCGGCGAGAAATCCGAGAAGAATTCAAATGAAACGTAATCAGAATTCCCCAGATTCAGCATCGGTTTCTGGTCCAACCAAGCTCTCTGCTCTGATTCCATTTCAGCTATTTCTGTTTTGGCTTTTCGTGCTGACCTTGCACTTGCAGCGCAAACCAGAAAACAAGGTCAACATTCCAATGTCTAATAGCTTGCCAAAAAAGCAAACAGGGACCGCAAACTAATTTGGGGGTCAAGCAAGTTGGCCAAAATAAATGAAGAAAATACAAAAAAAAAAGGGGAGCAGTAGGGGAAAGAGTAAAGGCAAAGCTTTAAGTAAAATTCGATTTAAATGAAACTTGAAATGAGCCGCAAGGAAATCAATTGTTCATTTGCATATGCATGCATTTTCCACCTGCAGAGTGCCATCAGCCAGCTAGTCAGCCAGCCAGCCAGTCAGCCAACCAGCCAATGAACCACTCCCCATGTGGCGTTTTCCCTCTATTTTATTGCACGACCTCAATATTTATTTGTTTGCCTCGCTTTTTCCAGCCAGTTTCAGTCCGAAGTCAAAGCCATTTCAGGGCCCTCAATTCCATTTCCATGCCATGCCATTTTTCAACCTGACCAGTCGGCGGCATCTTCACGATTTTCACGGATCTTTTCCTTTTTTTTTTTTTACTTTTTTTGGTGCAAACTTTTTTCCGCCGCTTTTTGGCCTTTTCGGCTTTTGTTTGAGTTTCAATTTTTTGTTGGTTTTTCGCTGCACTTCAGAGCGGGAATGGCATTTTGCCGCTTTCAATATGGTTGGCCCTTGGCCATTTGACCGACAACTTTGGCAAATTGAATAAGAAACTAATTTAGCAACAAACTGAAAAAGAAGAAGATAAACCCAGTTTATACCTATTAAATGAAATCTCTTAATAGCTTCCTCTCTCATTTAACTGATTATTGGGTTTGACATTCCCCTTAACTACTCAGCACCTAATTATAATGTCAACTTGTTAGTAAACTAAACTAAAATCTAGTTAACTAAAAAAGTGTAGGCTCTGGCAAATTATGTAAATGAATACGACCCTGGAATTAGTTAGCACTTCTATTTAGAGCAAAGCTATTTTTCAGATTTCACACTAGCAACTATACATTTTCCACCAATTCCCCCACTTTAAGCCCCTCTAATTCGTTGGGAAAACTTCACAAAAACAAAGCCGCGCTAGAATTGTTTGCCAAACTACTGGAAAAGGACGAACCACACACACACACACACACACAACAAGTTATCAGCGTTAATTTTGTTTGTTCAGGTTTACCCAGAGCAAACAGAAAGACTAAAAACCAAAACACAGAGCAAACAAAGCGGGAGAGAAAGAGGAAAAATTAATTTATTACTTGCAACGGGGACTATAAAAAAAAGAAAGGGAAGAAGGGAGGGAAAACTGTGGCTCGTAAACAGATTTAGATTTAATCAAATGATAGCCCAAAGCTAGATTTGAGTTGTGAGCGGCGGCTGCTGCTGCTGTTGGATTTGGTAATGCACTCAATATATTTCAATGTGGCAGCTCGATTAAATATTCCACACCAATGGCAGTGGGGCAGTCAGTGTGTGCCCCAACAGATTGGCAGGCATTTCGGCCTCTGGAAAAATGGTTTTGTGTTCGCCGCGGCTACTGAAACATGAGAAATGGCAACAGATTTAGCCACACACACGGCCTGCCTGCTTTTAGCTGTATAAACTATCATCATCAGATTTTGTATAGAATTTGTTATTTTTTGTTGTATTTCTTTTTTTTTTGGGTCACCAAAGGACAGGACACATTTTATTTCTCTTATTTTTCTTTTTATGGGGGCAGATAATTCGGTTGCGTTGTGGCGGAAAATGAAAAGCGTAGGGCTAGAAAAATCGAAAATGTTACGCCTGAAAATTGCCTGTCAAATGACAAAAATGGTTTCATTTTCCCCTATATGGAAGAAGCCTCCTGCCTTTTCAACCCTCTCCCCACTCCTTGGCCAATGACTATTGGTCATTTTTCCATGTCTAGGCCCATACATTCTTTCTATTATATATATATACTATATAAATATATATATTTTTTGTCTACTTTGTCCTTTTTCCGGCTGCTCATTCTGGTTGGCATGAGATTAGACCTTACATTTTGTGGTCAAAAGAGGGAAAGGCCAAAAGGGGGTGGTGGAAAAGTTGTGGAACTAGAAGAAATTGAAAATAACATTTGTTGGAATTTTTCGCTGAGGTTTGCCATGTCCAACAATTTGCTCGTTGCCAAAGTTTTTCATATTTTTTGGGCAGAAAGGTCGCACGAAGAGGAAATTGAGATGACTCAAATTAGATCATAAATGATATTGCATGAAAAGTTTATGGAAATTGACTGGGCTTTGAACCTGTCAAGAAGTTTGCTTGTTTTGCCAAAAATTGTTTCCTCAACTTCCAGTTTTCAAGTTTAAGTTTTGAAATTAATAATCCTTTTTTTTTTGTTTGAGAAAGTGGATAAGAAAAGTTTTTAAATTTGAATATTTTTGACAACTTGGAAAGTTTTGTTTTAAAGAGAGTTAAGCATTTAAAATACTTTAAGGCTTATATTAAAAGTTTTTATGATGAAACAGAGAGTTTTTAACATAATTTTCCCTAGCTTACATGCGCTTTTAATGTCAGCTTATAACTGCAAGAAACAGCATACATTCTTATCAGAATATTATTTGTTAATTAAGTTTTTTTTCTGGTATTTTTCTACAGCTGTAGTCCACATCCCAATTCGTCATTAAATCTATTTGCACTTCTGTCGTTTTAATTCGGTTCGTTAAGGTAAAATCAATTTGGATTCCCCTGGGAGCTAAGCTCCCTGCATTGGAGCCAAAACTGTGAACCCTTTGGCGTTTCCTGCCACTGAACACACACACAGACAGGCAGCGTACTGGTGGATTACATTGGTTGCACGTTGAATGTACGGCAATTACAAACTGCTTAAAAGCAAATAAATCCCTGCCAGGCAATTGCATCGACGATGGCCAAAGGATAACGAGTATTTGTGGGGCGAATGTTGGCCGCACATAAATATATATATATAAAAAAAAACATTTGCCGCTCCATTTAATGAGGCAGCACGAAAGCAAGCAAGCTGCAACAAGGAGAACATTTCAGCTGCTTTTCTGCGCTCGTTATCGGGCGGACAACGCGTATCTGGTTCTGTAAAATATATCTGTATTTGTATCTGTATATATCTGGGCGACATAAAACTGTCAAAAAGTCGCCTATATAAATCGCTAAACTAAATGCCTTTCATAGTTTAATGCCACCTCAAGGGATTTGAAGGAGCGAATGGATAGATCTATGGTGGACCAGACAACGTGTCTCTATCCAAGCATCCCAGCATCCACGCCTCGATGTCATTAAAACCGAATGAATTATGCAGTAGCCCAAGTGAACTACTTGCAGTCCGCCCTTCGGAAAACAGAACAGAAAAGTGCAGAGAGGGAAAAAGATTGGAGTTTTTTTTTACCTAATTTTGTAGAGATTTGCCAGGAATAAAGCTTCTTATATAGAAACCAAAATCACAATCTTCTCTACAGCTTTTTTATTGCTAATCCTTTTCAACCTTTTTGTTACTTAAAACCTATTTAAACTTTCCTCTGATATTTTTCCCTCAGTGTAGCTAACTCCAAAGACCTGCAAAGGACAAAAAGTACTACTAAAAAGAGGACCATTGGAGCAGTTGACCAGTTCTCTCGTCGTCGCGACTGCAGTTGTTTGTTGTTTTAATTAACTAATTAAGATTTTTCTATGTCGCGCCTAGGTAGAAGAAGCAGTCGCCCAAGTCTATGGAATGCCTGCATTATTTGTTGCAGAAGAGTTGCTAAGGACCCAATTAACCTTTTATGGCCATTTGGCACAATAACGAGGCCAAGAGCGAAAGAGCCCAAGTCCGACAACAGAAAGCAAAAAAAAAAAAAACTTAAATAAAATAAATAAAAAAGACAGCAACAGCAGCCGCCGCAGCAGCCGCCACAGAGCCAAACACAATCGAGACAATGAAACCTGGCCAGTTAGTTGGCCGTAAGTAGCCGGCCGTGTTCAGTGAAATTGTTAGCCATATTTGGCACACACACACACAAACACACTCGCAAAACAATGGCTATCATAAATTCCAACTACAAATTGACATTGAAAATTTGTTTGTTTTTCCTTCCAGTTTGTGCTCACCTTTTCGCATGAGTTTCCTTCCCCCGCTTCCTGGATTCTCACTTTTCCGAGCGTGACCACAAAAAGCTGCAATTACAAAAGGAAAATTTGTTAATACAAAATGTTAGTTAGGGCTATGATCAATTTTCTCAATATCATAAAGATAATAGAGTGCTTGCAGTTATAGATTACACAATGTATTTAATTATTTTTGTAAGGCCATAAATTTATGGCCCAGCTAGCATATGTTTGTCGGGGGAGTTGAGTTTTTATTTCCGTTTTGGTCAGGCGCACGTGCAAAATTTCCCATAAAGGGTTTAATTTTAGTTTAGGAATTATATGGGATATGAAATTAATATTCAGAATTTATGGCCTTAGGAATATTATCCGCTTGTTTAGGAGAAAGCATTTAAGTGGATTATTTACGGCAAGCGGCTAACGTGATTAAACCTTGAATTATCTTTTAAACTTACTTATTAATTTTCTATTTAAAAACCTTTTGTTACATCAAAATTACTTAGAAAATTGTTCAAAGAATGTAATAAAATTTGTGAAAATTCAATTTCCATCTCTCCCTGAACAACATTTTCCCAGCTAATGAAATCTGTCAGGCAGGGAAATTCTTTGAACCCATCCCTCTTTTCCTTTTGCATACAAGATTCCTAAACGTTTTCCAAACATTTTCATTTTGGGTCACCGGCTAATCAATATGGTTTAGTGTCTCCCAACGGGCTTTCCGACATTTTCTCTTCTCCACTTTACTTGGCTTTCTCTCGGGTTCAATTCAAACGCCCACATACTGTGTATTATCGCATATTTTTCCTGCTTGTTTTTTTTACTTTTGCAATTTTTCTTGCCCCTTGCGCTCTGGCAAACCGGTTAGGTGTTGGCCGTTGTCTGCTGATATGCAGCTACTTCAAGGTACATGAGGACAGACAGCCTGGCCAAGAACCCTGATCCAATCGCATGACATAGAGCTATAGCTATGTATATAATATATATATATAGTGTGGACAGCACAGTCGTGTGTATGTGGGATATGCTGACCAAGTCACCCAGATAGATGGGCCAAACTCCCATCTGAACGACACATCGCAGGGGCTAATTGAATTGGCAACACTAATTAGCGAAGCTTTAAAGGCACAGACAACAATTTTAGCCATGGCAACAAACAGACAACAATGTTAACCCAAAACCAGATAAAACCTAAACTGGATGCAGTTCGAGGAGAATAAACAACAAAATGCAGAAGCTGCGAGAACAAAATGTGTTGTGGCGGCGATCGACTTTAAGCTACTTACAGAAATTGACCACCCAAACTGCTGAAAACCTCGATGGCAGTTCATTAAGGTAAATGGTGGTCCATAAACTTTAAGCCGATTACAAGAACGATTCCCTCTTGCCGAAAGGTGCTCTGGTGGTCTCTGCCCTACCCGAAATAAATTGCGTAAATTATTTGCTAATGATCGACGGACAAAGTGCTGGTCGGCTTACGTCATGGTGCTGGGTAGTATCATCATTATCATCATCATCGGAGTTAATTTTTGTGCAATTGTCTTGAACTGTTTTGAGTGGTTAGTCAATGCTATATCCCGCATAATCATTATCGATGAGTGAAGGTCGTGTGGCCATAACACGCGACGCTTCTCCTCTCGGAGAATGAATTTACATAGCTGGCAAACCAGTTAGCACCGGGTATATCGTCATCATAACTAAACAAGCTGAAGTCTTGATTTGTTTAGAGTTTTTTAGGCGGTTTTTAGAGGCGGTTTTTTACCTTTAAAAGTACTCATTTCCTTTCCTTACTTAATTTAATTACAATACAATACAAATTGCAAGGAAGCTATACAAAAAAATAAACCCAAAAGATATAAAAATGCCAGCCAATAATTTCCCTTAAGTTGTTTTTGCTTCGGAAAAATGCGAATTATTTGCGGAACTAGCATGGACAGGAATGCCCTTTACCCCTGTTTACTCCTCTATACCCATTCAAAACCACCATCCTCCATCCACCATCCTCCAGCATCCAAAGCAACGACATGGGACTCCAATGTTGTTGTCGTGTCAGCAGCATCCGGGGAATGCAAACTGCAGGTTTGCCGACGAGATGGAGTCCAGAAATTGCAGAATCATGCAATTTGTGGGCACTTCGAATGCAATCAACAAAACTGTTTGATTTATGATCATTTGCAGTTTGCACTAATTTTTCAAATCACAAAAGGCACCAAACAACCGAACCAACCAGCCAACCAACAACAAAACCTGACTCGACACAAAAATTAATCATAGCACTGGGACAGGATAGAGATAGGCCTGGAGATAGAGGCCAAGAGGAAGCAGACATGAAGGATGGGGCCCAAGGAATCATTACAATCAATAACTAAAATCGATTTGGGCCTTCAAAGGCTTTCAGTAGCTGTCCGGTTTTTGAATAAAAATGACCACGTGACACGAAGAGGAGAGAGGTAATATTTCTTATTATACATCGGAAACTAAAAATCTTAAGTAATTAGTAATATTTTAGGTTCAAAATATCTTATTTTAAGATTTATAAATAACTTAACATATTAATAACCTAAGATAGATCTTTTCCCTAAACACTCAACCATTTCTTAAAGAGCTCTCAAATCGTGTCCCGTGGACATCTCGCAATGGCCCATAGAAACAGGCGGAGACGTCCGGGCCAAGTTTTAAGAGTTGTAATTATGCGAAGACTTCCTTTAGAATCGCGTAGACCATCCTCCTTTTGGGACCCAGAGGCACGGCCCCTTTTGGAAGCCCCCTTTTTTTCCAGCATTGTGATAAACGAGCACTCCCTCTTTGTCTAGACTTTGGACCGATCGCTCTTTACAACATCTTCATTATGAATTATGCGCTTCGCATTCTAGTCTCTGCCCCTCCTCCCCTGAGCATCTCATATTCTCGTTTCTGACTGCTCCCTGTGGAACATAACTTTTGTTTTATCACCCGCCCCAAAAACGAGGCAAGGACTTATCTCTGTCCTCACGAGTGCTTAAACTTTTGCCAACATGTTGCAACTAATTACATAAGGCGACACGTGCACGTTGTAATTTTATTTGTTACAACTTGAAATTAGCATGAATTTGCTAATTAGCTGCGATTGTAAAAGTTGCAGCCGAAGCGGCAGCGTTATTATAGTGACGATAGCGATGGCCTCGAAGAGTTGTTATACTGCACTTTCCTGTATCTGCGAGTGTGGGTTGAATCTACTGCAGTATCTACAAGTTTGTCGTTCCTACCCACAGCTATACATACTTTACAGTTTCAATATCTAAAAGTCAACTCCAACTTGCAACATACATACAAGACATATGGCAAGGAGAAAATCTACTTTACTTGCCAAGCTGTCAATTTTAAACTGTTGTGTTATGGCCAGAACTAATATTAATAGCCAACTACGATAACGTTAAAATGACAACAGAGATTCTTGGAAAAGTTTGTGGCCAAATGGTTTCCCAAGCAAAAATATCACAAATATTCTAGGAACCTTATTTTATCAAGCATTTTGATTTGATAAAATTTATTTATATTAATTAAGGTAGCTTGGCGTTGTCATGAATAAAATGAAGTAACAAACTGTATCTTAACTATTCCTGGAAAACTTTTAACTAATCAGATATCTTATGACTTATATAGTTAAACTTTTAAGAAGAGATAAATATAGCTTGCTACGAATTTAAAGAAATGTGTTTAAACTTTTTAAAGAAATGAGTCCATTTTTTGTATCTCAAGAACGAAATCAACTTTTGTGCTTTTTATCATAACTTTAGCGGCAAAAGTTCTCACACACCCAGAATTTCAACTACAATCAAAGCTTATCTCTAAGGAAATAAAAAATTAAATTAGAAACTCATAAGGCAGGCATATCAATCAATAAAAAAATTAACTCCGAATTCCAAGAACTAGATTGACGGTTTGACACACTTTCCTTGCCGAAGTCGAAAGAAAACTTTGACGTTCATTTTAAATATATATATTTTTTTAACAAAACCACATCAAATATTGAGATATATAAATATATTTCGAACAAAACACATGCTTGTAAATTCATTGCACTCAATACGGCAATTATTTGCATGCATTCATTACGGATAACAAAACAGAAATATTTGCACCTTGCCACAGTTCTTTGCACAGCTCCTCGCCTCCTTTTAACCCACAAAAGGTTACCATTTTACATTTTCCATTCATTATACAAACTTATATATATATATATAAAGATATATATACTTTGTTAACAAATATTTGGCCATTCGTTGCCAAAAATGTTTACATTTTACGTATTTATAAACGTGCAACTGCTGTGCAAAGGGCACTTTTTCTGTTTCTCCGCTTCGCTTGTTATTTTTAGAGGATTTATGCATATCAAAAATTTGACAAAAATTATTTTACAAATGAATTTTTACATTCGCCCTTGTGCAGCAGCAAAAAAGACTTGCATATAGGCTATCAAAAGGGTTGAAAAACATTGTCCTAAATAAAATATAATAAACATTTATCGCATTTATTCATTGATGATATCAACATGGAACAAAAACTAAAAATGTCTACAAAAAACGAAACAGCCCCTGGGGCTGAATGGCAGTGAAAGTGATCCAACGATGACGATGGTGCCAGATGATGATGATGATGATGGCACAAAAAATATATATGAATGAACAATACTCAGAGCTACCAGCATTGATGGAGCCGAGCATTAACTTTATATAACTTTTAACTCAACAACAACTACAGAAAATAACACACAAAAAATTAGCAAAAATTCAAAGGAAAATATGAGAGAAATATAATCATGACTTATGAAAGATGGAACGGGAAATGTTCCGTGAATGCTGGTAAAAGTTATGTAAAAATAAAACATTGAAAAGAATTATCCAACATTAAGGTAATTGCTGAATAAAGATAATGATTAACTTGGGATTATAATTTATTTGTATTTCCAGGAATTTGTTGGTGAATTTTTCTCTCATTTTTTACATAAAATTTATTATGAAAATTATATAAAAAATCATGAAACTTCAATGTTGTAATGGCTTTGTGGATATAGAAAATAATGCCATTTCAAG